CATGTGACATGGTGACGCGTAACAACGTTTTGCAGCGCCGGACAAAAAAATCTAACCATATCATGAAAAACGAGGTTTAAAATTTTCTACATGAAGTGCAGGGAGACTATCAGTTAATGGGTATGACTTAGTGTTGTTTTGTGCTATAGTATAGTCTGAAACCTGTGGTTATCATTAAAAACGAAATGCGGTAATCGTAAGACAAACTTTAATTTGTGTACGCCAATGAATATTAACAGGAATGTTAAATCTGCATTTGCATAATTTCAAACTTATGCTGGACTTTTATTTTTAATTGATTGCTCTTTTTTTCTCCCACAGTGGTGAAATTGCACCATTTTTATTTTGTAATTGCATTTGTTTCGCTCAATTTGAAAAGGGAGTTGTATTTCAAATAAAGTTTGAATCTGAACCTGTGTAGTTTGAATGGGGGGACTCAATAATGTTCCTATCTAGAAAAGGGGGGCCCTGCAGAGAAAGTTTGGGGACCACTGCTCTAGGTCCATTTTGATCAGTAAATAGATTCATTTTAATAATAGGCTCCCCCACGTACAATTTACAATTGCAGCATTAGTTTAATATTTTCACGTAAACTATTTAATCTGTTCCACCTTGCATGTTTATACTATCTGATAACAGCAACTCAATGTTTTAAAAACCGTGCACTGTCTTGCTGGTATATTTACCAAACTGATATGATAAATAGCTAATATTACAGTAAACAGATATTGTATATACACACATATTATATACATATTAATGTGAATGTTATGCATGTACTAAAATAATGAAATAATTGATTAACTGGCAGACCAGGAATAAGGTTTGGTTTTGATAAACTGTGGCTTATATAATAACCTTATATCTCCTTGAAGAAAAATCGCAAATATTGGTTTTAGAAAAAAAAATGATCACATCATTCATTTGTTTACAAAAACTACTAGTACAAAAACTAGTAGTTTTAAATAAAATATTAATTTCAAATAGTGATAAATTGAAACCCAAATTATAGTTATAAAAGAGCTGTTCTGTGTTAAAAAGTTCATTGACAAGCAGTCTGGGTGCTCTTTAATCAATAACATAAAACGGCAAACATTAGTGTTTAGTATCCCTTTGGTAGCCAGTGACCACAATTGCAATTAATAGAAAAATGGCAAGAAAAAAACTGAATGACACTTAATAAAAAAAAATGTCTGTGTGGAAGATATATGCAGGTATGTTAAACATTGCTTGTCAATGGACTTTTGTTATGAAACCAATGAATCTACAGAATTAAGCAAGTGTCCCAAGAATTTCTGTGAGTGCTGTATGAATGGATATTCTAATTCCTGAACTCACAAGCCTAAAACTCAAGTCTAAACATATTTATCTGAGACATATTACTCTACTGGACAGTACTTACACACTCATCTGCTTCCTGTCACATATTAAGGATTGGGGGGTTGGGGAGGTGGCCCTCTTACAAACAGTTCACAAAGTCAGTGGCCAACAATTTACAATTTACTTCAGATGGGTACAATTCTGTTCTGTTCAAACGGAAAAGGTTTTCCACTCCACAGGATTTGTAGGTTATTAAGCTCTGCACTGCACTTCCCAGATTCTCAGGCTTTCATCTTTAAGGTTCAACTGCACCAACTCAGGTTCTCATTTTAAAGACCCAAAGGGACCATCACAGATTCCCACCTGTAAGTTGTACAGGGACCATCGCCAAACCATCATAGGTTCCCATCTGTAAGCAGAGGTGGCAATTTCAGGTCCAGAAAGTAAAAATCCAGACCATGATTTACTTTCAACCAACCAGTGACTGTGACTCTTTATGCTCAACTGGTTGGTTGAAAGTAAATCATGGTCTGGATTTTTACTTTCTGGACCTGAAATTGCCACGTTTGTCTAAGGCAGGGGTCTCCAACTCCGGTCCTAGAGAGCTACTATCCAGTAGGTTTTCTATCCTACTTGGCTTCTGATGAGCCACACCTGCTCCTGGTATTTACCTGAGAACAGGTGTGGCTCATCAGAAGCCGGGAAGGATAGAAAACCGACTGGATAGTAGCTCTCCAGGACCGGAGTTGGAGACCCCTGGTCTAAGGTGTTCATGGACCATTGCAGGCTCCCATATACTAAGGTCCAAATACACGGTTTCAAGGACTCTTTTCAAGGCTATAACTCATATATAGTATATGCTGTATTATATTATATTATATTATATTATATTATATTATATTATATTATTATTATTTAATGTGGTAGTATATGTCTCTTTTTCTCTTTCAGCAGTTTAGATTTGTGGTGTCAAATCTCCTGCTATTTAACTTCATAAATTTCATGTCTGCCAAAGATATTCTCAGATATTCTCCCCCTCAGACTGTATCCTAGATACCTTTTAATGTGAAGGACACACTGCCTGAGGAAGCAGGCACAGAGCTGCCCTGCCGTGCAAAGTCGTGGGGAAAGGCCTGATCTCACCTCATAATGCATGTCAGGAACAAACACACACACACACACACACACACATATATATATATATCATGATTTTTTCCTTATTTAAAGACATATGAACTGAATAGTTACTTAATGTTTTATGCATACTGAATGTGGGAGTTTGGATCATTAATTATGAGTTGGAATACATGCAGAATGCTGGTCCTGTTTTGAATTTTGCAGTATTTAGTAAAGTTTAATCAGTTCTAGTTTAACATATATATAAGGAATATATATATATATAAGTGTTATATAAGGAATAATAAGTGTTAGAGGCATTAAATATAGTGCTGCAGTATTCTGTTTTTGGATACTGAAATACTGTATTTCAGAGTCAGTATTTTTGCTTTTTATACAGCCGGTTTTTCTGTATTTTGCATTTTCTGTAAAAGATCTTTCTAAATAGATATACCTGCTGGGTGCCCTATGGACAATCTTCCATGGCACGTTTGTCCATTCACTGTCAGAAAAATACAAAAACAGCTTATAGGACTAGTTTCATTTAGGATTCTGCAACGTTCAACCAAACGATGTAACAATGTTGGAACTGAAAAATGAACGTACAGTACATTTATGATTGAGACTCACAGTTGGCTTAGTAGCACTCAGTGGGGTAACACTCTAGTCTCACTCCACCAGGACTGGGATTTAAATCCCATCTCCAGCTCTGTGTGTGTGTGGACTTGTCATGGTTTCTCCATGTGCACGCTGATTTCCTCGGAGTGTTCCAGCTTCCTCCCGCAGTCCAGAATCATGCATCTAGGTGAATAATCGCTGTCTCTCATTTGCCCGTAGTGTGTGAGTGTTTGCCATGTGATGAAGTGGCATGCTATCCAGGGTTTCCCTGCTATGTGCACTGTGCTTCCTGGCACAGTCGGCCCAGCACAGGATAAACATAATAAATATAAATGGATTTCAGCTTTTCTCCGTGTAGCAGTCACACTGCCTTTCCGGAGATTTGAGCTGGAAGACTCCCGCCCCAATCTCACTCAGTCGCTACCTGGCCGCGAGTTTCCTCACGGTGTCCCCGCGGCTCCCTCCTTAGCGGGGAACGGCACAGAGATGACACACGCCGCCGCAAAGACCAATTAACCGGAAGAGCTGACAAGCGTGCACGGCTCCGCGGCGAATCACGCGGCGGAGATTTAATTTCTCACACAGCGGGGTCCCTGTTTTGTTTTCGCTGACCCCATGGCAGACAAATGCTGAATCTTTTACAGTCAGTCCAGGGCCATCAGCCCTCTAAAAATCCTCCCCCCATTAAACTAAAGCACCAGATTCTCTGAGCCAACGATGGCCGTGTTTTCTCCATCCTTTTTCGTGTTTCAGTCAACAGGCAGGGGGTTTATCCAGAGTAGGGTCCCACAGGACTTGGAGCCAATCACAGGCACCGTGAGGCAGGAGAACACCTGGGATAGGATGCCAGTCCTAACTCCACACCCAGAGGCGGGATCTGAACCCCCAACCACGGAGGTGTGACTTAACAGTGCTCCCCTCACATCTATATACAATCCATGTCATCCGTAAATTATTTTTCAGGGTGTCCATCTGCACTTTCAGGCAAATTTTTTGTCCCTTTTCACTATTATTTTTGGTATTTCTACTTTAGCGTGGGCATTATTCTTTACAGACAGACAATCGCTACACCATATGGGTGAATTGTGTACAGTACAAATACACTTTATCATGCAAAGTGCATCAACTCACACATAAAACATCTATCAATGGAACAGTTTTTGTGTCACACGCCATTTCTAAAAGTATTTCTACCCAGCTGTCTTTTTGCATGCCCTCCTTCAACAGAAGCACTACATCGCATTGTATTCTTAAATAATGTACAGAATTATATATGCAGGGAACATCATTCACATTTACTACCAGAGGAAGCAAAGCAGGAGTAGCCCAACCGGTTCCAGTAATGTGACTCTGGGAAATCGGTCTCCTCTCAGGCATTGGGGGTGTGTTTACTGCATGCATGGATAACAGTGTGAATAACACTGTGCTGCTGTACTGCTGTGTCCAAATCTGAAGGGCAAGTCATATGCACTCCACCTACTGGGGTGAAATCCAACTCCCGTTTCAGGAAAATCTTCAAATTCCGAGCCGGGACGTCTCTCGTCAGAACCTGGCTCCCTTCAGACTCCTGGAAAGGTTTGAAATTAGTAATTTAAATTATGTAGATGGCTGGCATGAGGGGGCATCAGGTGACGCAGTGGTCACAGACCTTGACATGTGACCAAAAGGATGTTCTATGAAGTCTCGGGAGAGACCCTGCAGTTTACCGTCTCGACTAGAGGCCTAATGTGCCCTTCTTCATCAAAGCTCTCAGCAATGTAAATGGGTAAAGTTGCAAATTATTATAAATAACATGAATGCCTGTTGAGAATGTTAATCACCAAAAAATCTAATAGGCATCATATACAAACAAAGGATTTTGCGCTTAAAAAGAACAGACTTCCATAGCCATCACCGTCGATTCAAAAATACATGAAAACATTATATTTAATGACATTCATATTATTGGCATCAGCCATCTATCAACCCACAGATCGTGCAAAATTCTATGGTTATTTATTTCATTAATACTTCATGCGTATGAGGAAGAAATACTTTTTTTCCTCCAAGGTCACCAAAGACTTGCATTATTTGTTCCCTGGTTGTCAATTTTTTATATGAAGGGTGGGTGTTAAATTCTGAAATTCTTATTAAGAATGGATGAACTCATTTATCAGTTAGAGTCTAAATGGATTTAGAATTAGAAGCACAGATCTAACACAGGTCGGATAAAGCTTGTGTGTAATGGGAACAAAAAAAAGATCTCTCCTGTCAGTGGGAATGACTGAGACTGACTTATCTTAGCTGTACTGGCTACTTCCCCCAGTAAGCCTCAGACTAGGCGAGCAGACTCATTCAGAGTGTGATTTGAATTAAGCAGGAGATCACGGCCTTGTCATTTTGTCATGACTCATTCCTTTAATATGCACGATTCTTTATTTTTTCTTCTGTTTAAGGGAACATTTATCTTTTTCTCAAATGCTTAGGGAAGGGGTTTATGAGAAATTAATCCAGTCCTCATATTGCCGTGAGCAGGGCTATGACCAGGTCATGGTGATAAATCAGGGTGTAATGCTGTTGCTTTATACCTGTGGGTGCGGGGGGGGGGGGGGGGGGGGGGGGGTTGAATCTGACTTCCTTTGTGTGTGTGTGTGTGTGGATTAGCTTTACTTTACATTGTAGAGACCAAATGTCCCTCACAATGTAATAAAAAAAAACTGTTTTTTGATGTTGTGGGGATGATGTTCAGGTTCCCACAAAGATCTGTGAATGCAATCAAAAAACCAAAAATGCCAGAAAGTGTCGTATTTTGTTTGGTTACTTATGGTTGAGGTTAGAGCTGGGTAGGGGTTAAGGTCGTCATGTTGGGATTAGAGTTTTCCCCATAGAAATTCATGGAGAGTCGCCACAAATATATAATTACAAACGTGTGTGTGTGTGTGTGAGCCCCATGATGAACTTGCATCCCTTGTAGACTGTATGGCTGCAGGCCATCCCATCACCAAGGATAATATCTTTACATAAACCCAAATCAGATCAGGGGTGAGTTTCCCGAAGCCTTATTAACGCTACGTCGTTCGTTAGTTCTATCTTTTAACACAGAACTTAAGAACGACGTAGCGTTAAGAACGCTTCAGGAAACTCACCCCAGATCACTAATCGCATGAATACTCATAAATAATATGAAATGGTAACTTATAAATTCAGTTCTACATATGTATTTACTTCAGGGATCCTTAATGGTTAATTAATGCCATCGATTATTCCCATGAATTATTAACATCTGGTGAGCATATTGGTTGTAACAGAAGCAGATGGTTTAGGAATCTTGCTCCCTATCCATCTTCCCTGAAATTATTTAATGATATTTGCTTCTATAGGTCAGGTATAGTTAGACATTTAAGGTCTCACATCTGGATCTGAATTCATAATACAAGTATTGCTTTTATCCCCGGAGTTCATGTTTTGTTTCACTTCCCGCGACTTTATTCCGGTACTCTCACAGTTTGTGTCAGCTGCTTTTCTCACAAAACTTTTAATTAAAGGCTCCACTGTTGCGAATCAGATCTTTATTTTAACTTGTAGGGCATGTCAAAAAAAACCCAAAAAAGACGACTTTTCAACAAATTATACTTTGACAAGTGATACAAATGAATTTCAGTAGGCAACGGAGAAGGTAAACACTAAGCACTCATCTCTGAAGAATTCCATATCCCTCATTCCAAGATCCAAAACACCCGTGCCGTCACACCTATAACTAATGCAATAACACCTGCATTTAATTGCGTACCTTTAACACTGGCGTATAACTGTGAGCGAAGGACGAGTCCTAGCTTGTTAGCATTCAGCGCAAGCCCTGTGTAGACCTGGGGTCCCGCTGTTTGCTGGGCTGTTCGTTCTTCCTGTTTATCCAGACGGAATGGGCTGCACATTTCCCGGGCGAGGAAAACACGGAATCATTAGCAAAAAACGCAATGAGAACAAGCAGCCCAGAATAGGGTCCACGTTCAGTGCAGACGTTTTACTCAACCATACTAGATGATCATGAGAATTTTAAAGGCCATTTAAAAATCTAAATCTGGTACAGAAACTACCCAGAGAGGAAAATGGAGCATTTTCCATTTAAAACGATTAAATATCATAATAGAAAGCAATAACACAATACACATCATCACTAAAATGAGTCGAATTAGCAATACTGAGAATTAGCAGTTGAGTGAGTTAATATTAATGTAACTACAATAATCAGGATTGATAGTAATTTGGAAAGGCCTCCATGTGCACATGTGTGTGTGTGTCTGCATGCGTTCGTGCATGTGTGCGACTGTGCGTGTGTGTGTGTGTCCCACATTCCATTTTATGGCCCTTTGCTTTAGGGATGACCTTGGAGGTAGGGCCCGACCCTTTGGGGATGACCTTGGAGGTAGGGCCCGACCCTTTGGGGATGACCTTGGAGGTAGGGCCCGACCCTTTGGGGATGACCTGGGAGGTAGGGCCCGACCCNGGAGGTAGGGCCCGACCCTTTGGGGATGACCTGGGAGGTAGGGCCCGACCCATTGGGGATGACCTTGGAGGTAGGGCCCGACCCATTGGAGATGACCTTGGAGGTAGGGCCCGACCCTTTGGGGATGACTTTGGAGATAGGGCCCGACCCTTTGGGGTTGACCTTGGAGGTAGGGCCCAACCCTTTGGCCATAAAAGTATAGTGCTTCCCATTGGATTAGGGCTCTAAGAATACGCTGGGGTTGAGGTAAGAGATCCACTGAAGGCTGTCCTCCACATAACTCCACATGGACACATGGATTCACAAATGGAAGGTTTTTTGGTCAATGTCTAAGGAGAAACCCTTAAGTAAAACGCTTACACAAGTAGCTAAATGCCTTTTCATTTGGCACATTATAAATCAGTAGATAAAAAGATGGATGATAATACAGAATGTGCATGGATATTAATATAGATATAATGTTTAGCTACTGTTGCCCTGCTTTGCTCTGCATGCCACCAGGGATAGACTCCATCCCTTCCCCATGGCAACCGCTTCCTGGATAAGCAGCTGAATGGATGGAAGGATGAATGGGTTTTTCTTGAGTCTGATAAATGCAAATGGGTCTTTATCCTCTCATTGCAGCCCTGTGCTTGTGTAAAATGAAGCCTGTTGCCATTGGAGACATTCTGGTGCCCTGTGCTTGTATAAACACGCTTTCCCTGGTTAGCCTTGGCCTGATAAGCTTGAGGTATATGCTCTGTGATGCTTACCAGCCAACACATCACACGAGGCTCACATACTTTGTCACCATGAGCCGCAGGACCCTCGGTTTAAAAAAAAATCCACTCAGACAAGCTCCGGAATCGGTAAAAACCCGGCGTCAGCTCACCTGAGACAGGGTGTTTTTTTTTCCTCGCAAGGTCCCGAAAACCTGATGCCTGCCTCAGCCCCGGTCCCAGAACTGACGGATGCAGGCCGCTCCTGATTTTCACGACAAAAGGACGGAGGAGAGATCGCTGCCTGTGTTCTGACACTCCGCACAGCTCAGAGCGACTGACTCCTGCTGTTGTCAAGACAGCGACTTCACTGAAGCATGAGGCGTCAAGAGGAGCGGATTTCATAAGCCTATCCGAGGAACGTCGTCAGTCTGTTATGGGGTGGTTTCCTGCGGATTTAACCTGAATGCAGCAGGAGTTCTGATGCAGGGAATGCGATGTTGCAGAACTTCCACCACTTGAATTTTGCTGTAATTCAACAACAGACATCAGCTATGTCCCCAGTAATAACTGAAAGGGATCCCTCATCGCTACAGAAGATCTGATTAGTTATTCTGTGCCTCACGTTTGTTCGGGACGAGGTCAGGCTTCTCTCTGGGGCCTTTAGCAGACTCGCTCTGAAGTAACGAACGAGCCTGTGTCATATCAGGACCCCATCTCATCTGACTGCAAAACAGGGTCCTTTCCATCGGAGGCAGCAACTCGTCATCGTAATGTCGCGTCCGGGAGTCTATTCACCGGCCGAAACTTATGAAACTGCATGCATTTCTGGTAAACAAGCATTGTGTTGTACACAGCACGCATAATATTATTGGAGTTGCCACAGGTTAATGTTTTCAGACATCTAGACCACTGTGTCTCCGAAACACTGTTTATGGGAATTAAGTCTCACTGCACTGGGTTGTTATAAAACCCTTATACATTCATTAAAGCGAATCTGAAATTTCACCAAAGGTAAAAACATTTTGACGAGTTTGGTAATAACCTGAGAAACACAGTACAGAATATATGATGAAGACAAAAACATTGTTAAGAGTCTCTGCGAGGGCTCAGTGTATAACATTGTCACGCCATGCTTCCAGTGTTGGGTGTTTTTATCACACCCTCTGCTGAGTGTGTGTGTGTGTGTGAGCGGGTATACCTTACCTTATGGGCACATAATGTCCCCACAACATGATGAATACCCATTTTTTTCCCTTATGGGGACCCCCTAAGGAAAAACTCAATTTAATAAAAAATCTATGACTTCAATGATAAAACTAAAAATGTTTGGTTACTTATGGTTATGGCTAGGGCTGGGTAGGGGTTAAGGTTGTCATAGTTAG